TGATGAAGATCACCGAACATGATGGATATCTACGAAGAAATTCTGGAAACTCTGATGAAGAACTGATGACGGTTATTGCTATCGTTATTGATGGATCTTGGAGAAAGAAATCTGGAAAACGATGTGAAGAAGAAGAAGTTCATACGGATCTGGATGAAGCTTTGAAGGATCTTGAAGTTTTTAGGGAAAAACGACGAACATCGATGAAGGTTACGATGAACACGCATGGATCTTGGTGAGGATTCTGGAAAATCATGAAGAACAAGGATGAAGGTTAAAGAACCTTCATCGGTTTCTGGGTGAAGACGGTTGAAGACTCATGGCGGAATTGATGAAGTTCTGGAAAAAGGGATGAATGGGATGAATTTCATATGAAGTTTCTGGCGACTTCTTGCATTTTCCGGCGAGTTCAAGGAATTATCGATGACAGTTGGATGAAGGTGATGGAGGTTATTGATGAATGTTCATCGTTCTGGTAAATTATGCAGTTTCCGGCGAGCCTCCGGCGACGGTTGCGGTGGCCGGAGGCGGTTGCATGGCCGGCGGGGAGAGTCACCGGTGAGGGATGCAGGTGAAGGAGGACGCGCCACGTAGCACGTGCATGCGGAGGGGAGGATAAGGGAATGCCAAGTGTGGGGTGAGGTGGCGGTGAGAGGGAGCATGCAGGCTGTGATGTGGCGTGCTCTGGGGGAGAAACGTGGAAGTGAAGTGGGGGTTTCTGAGAAGCACACGTGGGGATGAAGTGGTAGCTTCTGAAAAGCACACGTGGGAAATGGAAAAAATTAGCTGAGAATGAAACTCGTGGGACCTCTTATAGCGTGTGTCGCGGTGAAATTTGGATACCAAACTATTGATTAGTTTGAATCGTTTATTCATTTGCAACCGAACTCTGATTTGTCCAAAGGAAGGGATAAAGATCGAAATTCCCACGATGCAATGCAAATGCAAGCTAGATTGTTTAGGTTCGGGGGTTGGTTAAACTTAGGGAAGGTACTAGCATCCTAAGTTTCTGTAGTACTCTACAGGAACCTCTTGTTTTATGTTTGTTTATTGCTAAGTGTTATCTGCTTAAAGGATTAGAGACCCTAGTGGTTTATATCTAAGTATACTCGATAAGATGTCGCATCTTATGCCTATATATCCTTACGGGAGTGGAATCAGAGTATTTTGTAGTTCACCCTAAAGGGCTAGAGGAGTTCTTTGACTGTGGTCAAAGTTCCTACGGGTTTAGGGTAGTTGTTTTGATTGGGTTTAGGAGAAGAGATGAGTCTTCATGTTAAGGGAGATTTAACCACCACAAGTGTAAGAGGGGTTGTAGGAAATGGCCTTTGCATCGTCTTAAGAAAAGGTCTTACATACTCGGATGGTCGCCAAGTATGCCTTTATCGCTCTTAAGGCAAAGTCCCTACATGTTTGATTGTATTGTTGTGGGGGTGGAGATTATATCTCACTTAAGATGATTAACATCTATTCTCTATTGTGTTTGAAAAGTTGTATTGTTGTTTGTTTGGTTTCTAAGTTGTAAAAATAAAGACAAGGTCCTTCCTATGGGGTAGGATTTATCTTAAGCGATCAACTTGAATGGGATCAAGGATCGGAGGGAGTATGATGCAAATGATGTGCAACTACACACAAGTGTTGACTCATGTGTAGGTTTTTCCTTTGGACGGAATGCGATGCATGAATATAAATGCAATAAATAAATTGCAGAAATGTAAACCATACACATACGCATGAAAGTGCTAAGTAAGTGTGTGAGTTGTGGATAAATAAAAAGCGGATAAAACATATATATAAATACGCATGAAAGCGCTAGGTGAGTGTGTGAGTTGTGGATGAATAAGAGCAGATAAGAATGAAGCATACGTACGCATGAAAGCGCTAAGTGTGGATGTGGGAACTGTGTTGTGAATGTGAGTGTGCACGGTCGATTTTGTATTTTGCACTGTTGATTGATTTTAATTGTTTGCCTTGTTTTTAGACGGGGTTGAATTATTTTGAGAAAAGTTATTTGATTGGAGTTGATTTAATTTATGAGAAAATTATTGTTGTTGATTGAATTAGCTAGTGAGATTTGATTTTATGAAAAATGTTGTTTTTTTGTTAACAAGAGGTTTGGAATTGATTAGATTGGAAGAAAAAGATATTAAATAAATTGTTTTTTTATTATAAAAAGTTAATTATTATTAGGCAAAATTCTTTTAACCTAAGAAAGGAGGTTTTATTATTTTTTTAGAAATATATTTTTAAAATTTAAATGAGTTTTAAAAAGGGATTTTTATTAATATATAAAAAAAGATAAATCAATTGGAATATTTTTCTCAATAAAACACAGGTTATTAGAGTACTAAAGATTATTATAAAAAAGTTAATTAAAAGATTTAAAATAAGTCATTTTTCTTTTAAAAGAGAGTTTGCTGAATAATCGTGATTAATTAAAAACTAATTAATTAAAAGGTTCATTTAATAAAGGTTAATAGTTATTTTTTTTTAAAAAGTGGGTTAAGGTGTTAATGGTTAATGTGTGTGGTATTGTGTGATTAGTAATTAGCTAAAACATTACATCAGATAAAGTAAAAACAAAAAGATGGGAAAACCCTAAATCCCAAATTGGCCCAATTTCTGCGCCGTCTCCCTCTCGATCTTATCTTTTCTATTCTCGCCAACGCTCCGACCTTCGTTCGTATCTTTTTTCTCCTTTCATTTTTAATCCAATTCTAAAACCTGCAATAGCATATCAAAGTATCAGTAGCATAGGGAAATTTATCACGGACGACGTTTCTTACCGAGGGTTAAGGTGGTAATGATTCGCGGCTTCTCCGGCAACGGGCGCGATGACTTTCGGCAAGGGTTTGGGAGATAGCGTCTAAGGCTTTACGGAGGTTTCCGGCGGAGTAACGGTGACGGCGAAAGAGAAGATAAGTTGTTACAAATCCTTTGCCTCTTTAGTGATCTCAGGGTTTATGATTTTGGGGTTATTGGGTTTTTTCTCTGTGTATCTCTGTTTTCTGAATGGATTTCGTTCTCTTATATAGGCTCCCCTTTCTGATTTCTTGATTGAATTTCCTTAATCACAATTGAATGCTGATTGGGGATTTTCCAAATATGTTCAGGTACGATTTGGGAATAGTTTCCTTTTCCGTGAGATTACAATAATAAGTTGTTTTGATTTGCAATTCCATCCGATAGCATCCTTTATGACTCCTTGAATATTCTCTAATCGTTTCCTTAAACAATTACTAATTTGTATCTGGTACTTTGACAGGTGTGGATAATAATCGAATTGGGCTGGAGAAAGAGTTAGAGGCCCAGAGGGGGAGAAATCCATGTTTTGTGATGTCTGGTAGGAATTTCCATGGAAAAGTTGGTGGTGAAGAGCAACAAATGTAAACATTCTCTTTGTGCAAGGTATATTCTTTATCCAAACTCGGTTCGTGCGGTTTCCTCTTCAAACTGATGCGTACCTGCAATGTTTGCTCATCCACTATTAAGTAAATTCTCAAACTAATGCTGTTTTGTTTTGTAGGCTTAGATGTTCGGGTTTTAATGCGGGATGGTAACCTCTTACAGCTCTCCAATGGTGCAGCACAAGGAGAGTTTGGTTTAATGAGGCTCTTGGTGGCATTGTGACTCGGGTTAGTGTTACTACGGGAATACCGCTCTATTCTTAACTAGAAGGTGGAGTGGCTTATGCGTAACATGATGGGGGTTGAATCACATTCCAAGAAACGTGCTTTTGAGACGTGAAGATTCTTTCAATTCATCCTGTCTAGAACGACCCTTCGATGTTAAGTTATGGTCAGGTTGTAATCAACTACTTGTTCATTGTGATTGTTCATCATTGCTTGCTTATGTTGATTTGTTTAGCTTCCACTTGCAGTCTGCTCCACCTCTCTGCTCCACTTATGTTTGCTACTCGGGATTTTGGCAAGACAACTGTTAGAGCCCTTATGTGAAGGACATCCTCTCGCTGTGGTCTTGATAAGTTCAGAGCCGGGTTTAACAGAAGTAGTTATTCCATCACTCTCAGCAGGAGGAATCAAGGGTGAAGAAAGAGTATCTATCGAATTTGCTACTGTAATTGAACCTTGGTAATTGCATCTTTCAGCTTTAGGAAACTCTTCTGGTGTTATATTGTTGTGTGGCAAAGACTAACGAGGTCCGCGCGGATCTGACGCTTCTTTTCTTGCAGGTAAACGTGGGGGTCACATAAAGGAATTTTGGTGGTCTTACTCATCAACACGCAACAAATCAATCAAGCTTCCGCATAAGTCGAGTTGAGCTGTTCTTTATGTGTGGCCGATTTGGACTGCTAGTAGTGGTACCATCTCATACGAAAAAACTGCATCCATTGTCTTCAACTGTTCTTTTATGCGTAGCATCCCAGTTTTGGTCGGTGGCTACGTGTGTTTAGCGTTCCCGCAGTGAGGATCTCACACGCCTTCGAGGTATAGCATGCTAATAACCAGGCCAGGCTGCATTGGTACTGTTATTCTCCTCTCAACGCTTGCATTCTATTCTTGTAAGCAAGATTTGATTTTTTTATGCTTTAACGAGAACGATTTGTGCTGGTTTCATTGCAGGTGTAAATGAGCTTGTGTTTCGACGGATGCCTTTCTTCTAAGCGGAGGCTCTCTCCTCCTTTTAACCTTCTCTCGACTCTCTGGTCTGGAATAATGTTAAGAGGTATGCGGGATTTGTGTGAGGATTTGTTATCGGTTTTGAGCATGTCTGATTCTCTCCTCTTAAGTTTTGGCATAACACTGAAGTATTTAAAGTGCTCAAAGATGACCGCTTGCTGCCATCTTTTTTTTTTACTGTCATGAATATATGCTTTCTCTTGACTCTCGTTTCAATTGTGTTAAAGCGGTGGCGCCGGCGGTTCTATATCGTGAGTTTTGAAGAGTTTAAAACATTGTCGACAATGCAAGGTAGCATTTAATGTTTTTGTAGCAATCTCACCTAGTATTACAATGTTGGCATGATGTTTCTTTCAATTCTCATGAGATTGTATGTGTGTTTGCAGGACTAAATGTTGTGTCCTCATCAAATCGTATGGTCACATAATTCTCCAGTACAGTGGGATTTTCATCTGCAAGAGTAATATCTTCTAGACTCTTCATGTGATGATCCTCATACCCATTAACATCCGTTCCATAGCTCAAGTTAAGCGCATCAAGGTCAAAAGTGGCTGGCATGGTGATAGTATGAAGAGGTGCTTGCATTCCGTCCTCGGGTAAGGTATGATTTGACACCGCAGCAAATACTTTGTATAAAACAGTACAATCAACTTTCTTTGAATAAATACAAACAACACCTAAGAGTAAGTGAGCTGACATTCCAAAGGCTTTGTCTTCTGTAGTTTCTTTTTCCATCTCAAAATTGATAATGTCATTTATTGTTGTAGGTCCTTTGGTTTGATATTGCTTTATGTGATTTGGGAAGATGTTTGAATTAGTTGATTGTTGGCTTGAATAACTGATAAACTTTCCATCCTTCTTTCAGGAGCACGTCGGTTATGATGACTTCATCGTTATAGCGGCATTTGAGCGGTTTTAAGTGATATGCCCTTCAACTAACTCCCAACTTGATGTCTTCTGGTACAACCGAGAGATCCCCATAGCCTGGGATTTACTACTGATGACGCCATTACCGTGCAATGCAGTAAATTACTTAGAGCTTTGTCATCTTCCAAACGAATTTCTTCATGAATTAATTTTCTCTAAATCATTGCTGCTAGTTTTGACAGGTAGTGTTTGGTTTTCTTCTTCTGTTTTGCAGCGGTTCTTTCATTCTAATCAAAACTCACGGCTAACGTCACTCATGGATCCGAATAGGTAAATGATTTGATGTCGTGGCTGTGATGGCGGATTCTCAATGTTCACATACTTCTTGTTAGGTATTTCCTGGGCATTTGTGTTCTGATGATATGTTCCAAAGAGGCTATTGGAATTATGATCACCGAGCTGGCATCGAGGAACCGAAGTTCAGACATTGCCATAACCGTTGTGGGAGCACATTCAACCGATTTAATGTAACCTTGCACTTTTTACAGTAGTTAGATGTTAGGAACTTGAGTCCAAAAGTGATTAGGACCACCTTGTAATTGTTTATGAAATCAAAAAGATTTGTCTTTGTGCTAGTACTGATTGGAAATAAACAAGAACGCATGGTTGAAAACTTGACCCGTCTTGGTGTGACGCATGCCCTTGTATCAATAGTTATCATAATCTGTAGCTTAAAGTTTTGTTGGGCTCGTATATGCAAGTCGTAATCTTTGTATTTGGAGTTATGTGCATCTTATAAAGACAAGAGTCTAAACCTTCTTATTTTGAACACTTAAAAGGAGAACTCAGAATTATTTCTTGTAGCCTTGGAGCTTCGAATTTTATACGTTGAAAAAAAATGAAACGTGTGCCACAGTTGACTTGAACATTATTGCAAAAGATGATTGTATAAGCATGAATCTTCAATGAGGTCCTTAATTATAAGGTTACTTTGGTAATGTGAATACTGCCATTTGGAGATAGTTTTGATGAATGTCACATAAGAACTCCCTCGTGCATATAACTTGGACTGTTAACTTTAACTTCTGGCTCTGAGCTTGTAATAAATCCCTCCATAGGCTTGAAATTGACTTAAGAACACAAACTTCTGATTCACATATTCTTGAGTCTACGACTTTTGAAATTTATGCGCCTGCACACACTTGTTAGTGACAATAACATAAATATGAAATATAAAGTCAAATGACGTAAGAGACGCACAAAAGGAGGTGAGATCTTATGGTCAAAAATTAGGGTGCAACAGATGCCCCTATTTAAGTTACTCTTATTCAGAGATATGGAGATTGAAATCTTCGTCTCGACGGGATAGGAGGGACTTAAATACAAACATAGCACGAATTTTTGGCCCTAAGAGGCCACCGAATGAAGATGATACGCAATGACATGAAGATGCAAGATGAATCTGTGAGGAAGAGGTCATAGGGGATGAACTGGATACGACATGCCAGACAAAAGAGCAATAGATCCAACAAGGCGGGACCCTACGAGGATAGGAACAATCACCCATGGGAAATCTCCAAACGTGTAACGGTAACTCATACACCAAGGATGCAGTGATTTTGACGATTTGTGATCGAAAGATACCTTTATTACCAAGGTGGTGGTTAGTAGTAACTCAAAATGGATCTTTTTGATTGGGGCGCAATGCATTCTTCGCCATTTTTTATTATTTTATATTTGGTAACTCAACTGAAACGGTAAAATGTATAACTTCCCCTAGCATCATGGTACGGGGACCATGAGCTGGTCTCGGTCTTTGATGTCATTGTAGTTGTAGATGTTGTAGTGGTAGAGCTTCCCCGAGCATCATGATATGGGAGTCATGAGCTGGTCTCGATCTCTGATGTCGAACTTCCCCTTTGCACCATGGTATGGGAACCATGAGCTGGTCTCGGTTCCTGATGTCGAACTTCCCCTTGCACCATGGTATGGGAACCATGAGCTGGTCTCGGTTCCTGATGTCGAACTTCCCCTTTGCACCATGGTATGGGAACCATGAGCTGGTCTCGGTTCCTGATGTCGAACTTCCCCTTGCACCATGGTATGGGAACCATGAGCTGGTCTCGGTTCCTTCCCGAAATGATGAGAACTCGTGAGAGCACCTTCATAGGGGGTTGTAATTTTGTAAGATTGTAGATTGTCTTGGTAGACATAGATGTAGGTGTAATTGTGGTTGTAGATTGTAAATGTAGTTCGCTGTAGAACTACCCTGTGAATGCAGTTTGTTGTAGAACCCTGTAGATGATAAATGTTGTTGACGTAGTCTGCAATGTACTCTGTTGTAAATGTGATTGTAAATGTAGATGTAATCTGTTATTGAAGAACTGTAAATTGTAATGTTGATGTAGATGTTTGGCTGTGAGCCATAGTGTCATTGTAGATTGTAGGTTGTAAATTGTAACACTGTAGAATTGTTGATGTAAATGTTGTCAGTGTAATCTGTAATTGTAGAATTTTGTAGATGTGATCTTGTACTCGTAATTGTAAATTGTAGATGCAGTTTGTATTGTATTGGCAATTTGTAGAATATGCACCGGGGATCTTCAGAGGAGTTGTAAACCGGTTGATCTGTGGAGTGTCCTCTTGTAAGGAGATATGTCGTTGATTGTACTCGTAATGAACTCTCTGGGGAAGATCATTTTTTTAGGAGTATCTTTGCTGTAATCGTAAAAATATGTGAATTTGTTGTAGCAGAAATCCTCAAATGGGGAAGTATCTGTAATGCCCTCTGTTTTGACTTGATAATCTCGAAATGATCCACTGGGAATGGACAGATTGTCTTGAGGAACTTGTTGTTTGTCGTTTTGAGAATAAATCTGCCCAAAACGAGCTGCTCAAATAAAGAGATCTTATGTCATTTAGCTGTAAGTTGTCGAGTGGATCTTGTAATGTTGTTGAAGAAACGTTGCGTCTTCAAATGGTGATCCTTATGATGTCAAAGTGCAAAATAAATGCACTCTTGATCCATGCTCAAAAGCTGGAGATGTTCATAGCGTGATTGCTAAAGACCGAAGTTCAATTCGGGAAATAACCGAAGAGAAACCGTCAAGCAAGACTCAACCATAGAGGCGTAAACTCCAATGGGAATGTACTGAAACAACCATCTTCCACGAGGATCGAACTTCGTGGGGAAATAGAAATATTGAGTTTCTTTGCTTAGGGTTGACAACTCTATTTGGAAGGAAGAGACACGCCCAAATACCCAAGGGTAAACGCAATCGAAGATATAGAGTAAAACATACAAAGGATGCACAAATGCAAATGTTATGCTATCTACTTATATGATATGCGTATGTTTATGTTGACAAAACAGACGAAAGCGACGACCGAATACGGGATAAACGTCTCGAAACAAACATCCGACCAATCTTCAAAGATAGAAGTACCACTGAGGGTAGATGGAGAACCAAATGTAGGGTCTCAATCCTGCTTAAAAACTTCAAAATTTCTTCTTGAGGAAGAGTGATCAATCCATTTGGGGATGTAACATCTTGATAAGTTTGGCATGTTGTATGAAATTGTAGACGGAGGTACCCAAACCGAAGTTTCATAGGGGATAAAATAAATATCCTGGGTCTTCGTAGTTGTTGAACATGTTGGGTTGAGCTTCCTGAAGATGACATATACATCTTTTTGCTCCAATCTTCAAATGCCCCAAAACGTCTCGGGAGGATTTTATAGAAAACATGATGTCTAAATGCCCCACTGTTTTCAAACTCTCTAGAGATTCGCCGAATCTCGACGTAACTACCCCTGATTGGCGGTAAGTGAGTCCTTGAATTTCTTCTAGTTGAACCCAAGACTTGCGCGGATGAAATTTTCTTGGGAAGAATGACCTGCCCCAAGTCAGCAAAGTCTTCAAATATCATCATCAATGTCTGTATGTGGTCTTTCTAAGATGTCAAGCGTATTTAGCACGCTTGAAATATCCATTTTGAAATGGTTAATGCAACACGTGATTGTCTTGAAGTTTTGAAAAGGGGTATCGCAATAACTTGTGATCGAAACCACTAGTTAGGATACAAATTGAATCTTTATTTATAAAGCCGATTTAAATTTGAGCATAGCTCAAGGAGTCAGGAAACAATATCTCATCGAGTATGCTTTCGAATTAAACCTTCCTTCAATTAGGACTTTGAGGGTCGTATATGGGTTTAATTTATGACTTGTAGAATGGAGGAAGAAAAGGTTAGTATATTTGTGCCCACCCAATTTTTTTTAAAATGTTCATCATTTTTGATATCACCCTGCCCCAGGTTAAGAAAATGAGGTTTCGGTTTGGGAGAAAAAAACGGATCTTTTCTCAAGATTATTGTGGTGTTTAGGAGGTTTAAAATAAAGCCTTACATCATCAGTAGGGTTTTTATTCGAAGCATACAACAAGAGATCATGTGTTTTACTTCATCATCCTCCTTCCAATTCTCTGTCAGAGCAAGAGATCGGGTAAAAGTCGGCATTATAAATAATTTTGAAAAACTATTTGAGTGAGAACGAATGGATTTCTTCAAGACAAACAATTATTGCATTACTTATTCAAAATAGAAAGTTCTTACATGCCAAATGTGCTTTTAACCAAAGAAATAAACACACAAACAAACGAAAGAAATAGAAAGTTCTTCTGGAGTTTTCACTTATATCAGCGTAATGGTACTCCATTCAGGATCGGTCTTTCTCCTTTGAAGGTTAGCACTTCATTATCGATCATTTCTTGAACTTTCCCTTGAAAAACTTTGCAATCTTCGATCGAATGCCCCAACACTCCATCATGAAATTCACAGCTGGTGTTTGGGTTGAACCACAGTGGGTGA